GAGTTCCAGGGTGAATGGACAGCACCTGCCCCTGAATTCACTGCACCTCCACAACCGGAGGTGTCTGATTGGTCTGAGGGGGTGCAAGTGCCTTCTGTCCCAATTCAGCCTTACCCCACTGGTAAGTAGAATGTAATTGAAAAGGATACTGAGTGGACAATGTATCATATACAATAATTTAAGTTATGATTTTTTTACAGTTGGTTTCCCTTTTTGAGGAGGTAGATTCGCGAAATGCAAAGTTTGAGAAAGAAGTGGTAGGAGCCAGTATCTAAAACACAGACACACAGAGCTCAGATATCCATTCTCATTCTCCATTAATCTATTCAGTTAGCTTTCTTTATTCTCCTTTTCCAGTTGCTTCTAGATAGTTGTTATAGTTATAGTTATATTATGTATTATAGTTATATTATGCTAGAAATTTTAATTTTAATTTCAAATTGCTACTCTGGTATAGCACAGGTTTTACTGTTTCAGAAGTAATACCGTCATCTAAAATGTGTAACAAATCAGTTTGCCTCTACATTTGGGAGTGGGGGGGAGAGACACTTATTTGCTGGAAGAGGAGTTAAAAAAAGGAAGCTGAATTAGGTGGCCTGGCCTGTTGTTCCGCCAGGCCGGGCTATCAACATAATTTTAAATTGGGTGTTTTAAATTTCTGGGGTTTTAAATTGAGCTGAATTATTTAATAATTTTAAATTATTTTAATTGATGTTTGTTTTGTGCTTTTAATAGGCTGTACACTGCCCTGAGTCCTTCGGGAGAAGGGCGGTATAGAAATAAAATTATTCTTATTCTTATTCTTCATTCTTATCCATTGAAGTTCTCTACTAGAAATATTTTACATTAACCGATATAGGAGCACACTGTTCTAAGGACCTGTGGAATATCCTCTTTCCCTGAAGACCATACCAAGCAATTTCTGTACTGTGCTGTTTGGGACAGGAAGCAGTTTGGCACTTATATGAATTAAATCCTTCAAATCAGATGCCATTTTGAGTGTTTCTGAGATATTATTTCACGAAAGTCTATTTAATTCAGGACACATGAAGAGCCTTCCAGTTCATGGGGTTTATGTCTGAAATCAAAGTCATCCCTTAGATCAGCTTGATTCACATGAAAATGGGCCATTTGAAATGCTCTGTTCCTGCATTGACTTCAATTGTACTTAATTTAAATGGCTTTGATTCTGTTCATCTTTGTGCAATATTTGTAATACAAATTTCCAAGATTTGTGTTTTGGAATTCAATTGCTAATCATGGAGAATGATCTCAAAATATGGTAATGAAGATTGAGGAAGTTACTTATATTTTTCAAAACCCAGTGTGATTTTATGTCTTTTTCAGAGGATTGGAGTTCACAGACTGCCACTGAAGACTGGTCTGCAGCTCCCACAGCTCAGGCTACTGAGTGGGTTGGTACTGCCACAGAATGGTCTTGATTAAACAATAGCAATTCAAGAATTACAGTTGAAGAATAAAATATCTTCCTTGTTAACTAAGATTTGTTTGTTGTTTTCTTACATTTTTGTTGATCTGGGAAATTATGCAGGATCAGCCCTTAGCATATGCAAGGTTGAGGTAGGGATGTTCATCTGGGAAAGTCAGAGTCAAAAAGCTGACAGCTAGTGCTGTAATATCAGAAATGGCATCATTGCACTCACTAAGATTTGCTAAGCTACATCCATCCCAAAAGCAAATAGCATGTCAAGTTGCAGGATTTAAAGAAACATTTTTATTCCCTAAATTCTATCTCGTTAGTTTTTGATACCTTTTCTATGCTGAGAAAAAGGGAGTGCTTTTTTCTCCTTTGATACAGAAGAAAGGTTGAGTGGGGTTTGTGAATGGACAAGCCTAAATGTGGGGTCTCTGTAAAGGCTTGCTGGCTGAGCATCTCAAATTCTGCTATATTACACAAGTGTTTGAAATTCACACTTCACAATGATACTAAACAAGTCAAGCTAATTAAAGATGATTTGTTATTAAAATCTTGTTGTAGAATAGTGCCAAAGGTGGGTTGTATTTTTAAAAAGTGTTTTGAATCACATGTTAAAGGGTTAGTTTTATCTGACATATTCAAATAACATTCTGTGAGCCAGACTAGCTGGGAAAGACATTACTTTTTTTAAAAAAATGCCATGTTTTAAAATAGTTTGAGAACAAGGAAAATATTTGCCCTGCCATCCTTGTTATGTTTCAGATAGAGTAAAGCATTTAATAGTTGACTTTCGAATAGGGTTATTAAACTGTGTGTTCCGGTTAATCTTGGATTTCTGTAAACTTGTGATAGCTATTTGGTTAAAAGATTTTCTGAGGCTTACAGAATATTTCATGTGTAGAATTCATTTAATATCAGAACAAAACATATTTGTTATGATCTCTGAACAAATCTTAAGCTGTTTCAGGTGTCCTAATTCTAAGTACACAGTGATAGAAAATAGGATATTATGAATGTTCTGAACTCAAAGCAAAACACATTCCAACAGTTTTATTGCTGTTGGAACAAAATACTGCAGCAAAGCTTTCAGTATTTTGAATGGTTTTGTTTTTGAACATAACACCATTTTCATGCCTCCTTTCTAAAAATCACAATACATTTCTTTGCTTGCCATGTTTATTCTAGCTAGCCTTAAGGGGATATTAATTAACTTGCATTCAAGAGAGATGGACACAGACAGGCACTCCTTTTGGACAAAAGCTACTTATGGAAGAAAAAAGATACAAGTTCTCTGAAATTTTATTTCCTAAACTTATAAGTTATAAGTTTAGGAAATAAAATTTCAGAGAACTTGTATCTTTTTTCTTCCATAAGTAGCTTTTGTCCAAAAGGAGTGCCTGTCTGTGTCCATCTCTCTTGAATGCAAGTTAATTAATATCCCCTTAAGGCTAGCTAGAATAAACATGGCAAGCAAAGAAATGTATTGTGATTTTTAGAAAGGAGGCATGAAAATGGTGTTATGTTATGAGATTGATAATATAACTTTAAATGCCATGTAAGGATAGCATTAGTCTTGGAAATAGTTTTAAGCTTCATAACCTCTAAATTTGGCATGATCAAGCTGCATGCTGCGTGCAGCCTCACAAGATAATACAAAATATAAAAAGTTTGTTATTTATATATTTAACTATATTATATATATTGTATATGTGGCCCAGACATTTGCTCTTAACTCTGGCCCAGGCAAGCTAAAAAGTTGGACAGCCATGCTCTAAACTCGGAGTGGGCAATTTTCACAAGAGGCCACATGAGGAACTGGGACTGTTTCAACTCAAGACTGTTCCAGACAAGGGGCAAACTTGGTGCAGGCACAAAGTACTTTTTCTCCTTTCTCTCCAGTGGCTGCCAGCTGACTGAAGGAGCATGGTGACTGTCAAGCCAGCCGGCCTCTGCTGCTTTTCCTGCCCTCTGCGACATTTATTTAAATTTTATTTCTAATTTTTTTAAAAAATAATTTTTAGTAATACAAATTAAAAATATTGGACATAGTTTGACTTTTCCGGTTTAGACATTTTCATCAAGTTTTACAACAGATACACTTCGTTATCGCTATACAGGTTTATACTATTTATCACATTTCAAACACAAGTTATTTCATCTGTGAAGGTTACATCAAGTTGATTCCTATCACAGAAAACTAACAAATTTCTAAACATTCAACTCAATAATCCTTTATCACGGCATTCCTCCTCTCCATCAAATAAAAAAAATTATTCCAGATTTTATAATACTCTGTTTCACTCTTATCCTTGAGTTCCAGAGTCAACGTGTCCATTTCCGCACAAGTTAATATTTTAGCTAATACTTCTATGGGGGTCTCTTTATTTTTCCATTTTTGTGCAAAGGTCAGTCTTGCTGCTGTTAGTATATGCAGCATTAGATATGTTGTACCCTTGTTATATTTGTCCTTTATAATGCCCAATAAAAAGAATTCTGGTTTTAATTCTATATTTTGTGTTAATATCTCTTCTAGCCATTGTTTTATCTGTTGCCAATTTTTTTTAGCTTTTGGGCATTCCCACCCCATGATAAAAACTCCCAGGCAATACCTCACACTTCCAACATATCGAATAGTTTTTGCTCATTTTTGCAAGTCTTGGTGGGAAATTTGATTTCTAATTTCCAATTGATCTCATGACAGAGATGTGGTCTAGGGACCATAATATGCCCAGGTCTGCTCTAAACTATTATGATTTTACTATCAATTGTTTCCCAATTCCCTGTTTTCCAGCTCTGAACAGATATATTGTAAATGAGTCATAGATGCTATATAATATAGAGATGTACTATAGTATAGAAAACAATCCTTTACAAAAGCAAGGAAAATTGCAAGAGTGAATTGAAAGAAATGCTATTGCACATGTGAAAAAAGCTGTATTGTTTCCAATTATGATTAGAAATTGGAAATATATTTGATATTACAAAATTTTATTTAAAATTCCAATGTATATAATGTATTTTCCATGTCAACAAGAATTATAACACATGTAAAATAGCTATGGAAAGTTTTTCTATGGAATAGAAGTAAAAGGGAGCTTTCAAAAATTACTGGATACTTGGTTACCAGAGATGGAGTCAACTCTGATAAAGTTGTACTTGCCAGCTCCCATTTGGAAGGGAGAAAAGACAAACCATATACCTCCTTATTGCTATGCTAAGATGGGATTGGGTGTAATTAATCTTTACATCTTTGTCAAAACTTCGTTTCTTACTTACTTTTAAAACAGTTTTATAGTTTTTCTAGATACATGGAGTCCTGTCAATACTGCCAAGTCTGGACTTTTCCCCTTCCAGGCTGCCATCTCTAATTAGATATTGTGTTACAGTTTAGGTAAACTTTATTTGTGTACCAGATAGAAATAAATGAAGGTATATAAGGAGAAACCAGTGAACTTTGGAGTTTGGCAAAAACATTGCATCTCTGAATAGGAACCTTTCATCGCTCTTCCAAGATAGTTGAAGCTCTTAAATTTCTAAACAGTGGAACAATTTTGTAAAATAACCAAGTTCATTAAGTACCATTATGCTCATGATCTAGTAGATATTACTACTTCTATGCCATCGTTACTAGGTTCCCCGCCTCCAATTCCTGGATAAGGCCGCCTTGGATAAGATCCTGATTTTAGTTGACTAGAGAAAGGCACACCTCTTTTTGGAGTAAATGGCTGGGTCATTATCACAGAAGGTGAGGATGACAACATTCCTTTCTCAGGGTTTGAATTTGTCTCTTTCTCTGCAGAATGATTTTTATAGCTTGGTGACACAGGCTTATCTGGTTTAAAAGAAAATGCATTATTGCACTAAAATTGTCAGTATTATAGTTAATAAAGCTGAGATAAAAAGTGACCGCTAGGTGGCAGTGAAGAATTATAATTTTCTATATATGGTGTCTGATAATTTCTGAATGTTTGCAAATCAAATATGGTACTGCAAGGCAACTTTTATTTTGATTGAAGTTTAATAACCTTCAGTCTACTCTGGTATTTCACTGAACCTTACAAGACAAGCTGTAAACCATGGCATAATGTTAAATGTTGATTATTGATTAAACTAAACCGGCTTAGAGTAATTAATTGAAAAGCTATTTGAGCATTGTGATGGCTATTGATCTCTTAGGTATGTAGGATGACCTTGAAATTAAACAATGGCACATTTGGTCTTTTATTTAGGGAGGACAACACTGCCAATATTAGAGGAACTAAAGTTGTCCTATTATATCAACTCACCCAAAGCAATATATGTATGAACTCTGGACACTATTTTTACCTTTAGCTGCATTGGGTCCTTCTATGTTTTTTGCATATGGAGTAGGGAAGTCTTCTAGTTCTTGCATTGCAGAATTGGCAGAAAGCTTATTCTTATTTTTATCATCTTCACGTTGCTGTACGAATAAAAACATGTCATGAGATACCTGATTCATCTGGAAAGAAGAACTGTAACATCTAATTTAGTCAAAATTGAGACTTAAGATGAGACTTTTATGTGGATAATGCAATTTAAAATCAGAACAAAACTGACAATTGATTTTTATTATTTTTAATAAAATGTTCAACGTATCTAATATTCTTTCTTCCTATTTTCCCTACAACAACCACCCTGTGAGGCAATTTGGCTGTCAGAGAGTGACTGGCCCAAAGTTACCCAGCCAGCTTTCATGTCTGTGGTAAGACTCAAAGTCTCTTGGTGCCTACAGCTGAAATGGAGCTGTAACTGAATTTATCTTTGATCTCTCATTCAATCTCATATCAGTCTGAAGTTATAATTTATATTATAATTTTGAAAATACTCAGACTAAAACAGGACAATCTAACATGTTATGAGGAAGTAGAAAGGAGTACTGTATTTTTCAGAGTATAAGATGCACTCCCTCCCCCCCAAAGAGGCTGAAAATTTGGGTGCGTCTTATACTTTGAATGTAGTTTTTTTGAAGCTTTTTTTCAGCCCTAATGAGGCGCTAGCGAGTGAAGTGATCTTCTGAGTTTTGCCTGCTCCCTCCAACTCTCAGCTGTGCTTTAGAAGCTTTTTCCCAGCCCTAATGAGGCACTAGTGAGTGAAGCTATCTTCCCAGTTTTGTCTGCTTTTCTCATTGCTGCTCCCTCACAGCTGTGCTTTAGAAGCTGTTTTTTATCCCCAAGCAGGGGATAAACAGTGCACGAGCTCAAAACCAGCAAACTAATGTGCTGAAGCTGATCAGACTAAGGACGCTAGCCAGATGAATAACTGATAGGCAGATTCCCCCCCCCCCTATTTTCCTTCCAAAAAACTAAGCTGGGTCTTATACTCTGGTGCGTCTTATACTCCGAAAATTATGGTATTTGAGAAAAATCTTCTCTGTCCATTTGATATTTAATTGGGTACCTTTGACATTTAATTCCAGCCATGTCCTAGAATACATATTATATGAAATGTATTCTAGATGTATTGTAATTTGAACATATTTATTTAGTTGAGTTTCAACTTGTATTTTTCTTTCCCATTTTGTCTATAGAAATATTAAAATAAGAAACACAATAGTGAGCACAATAAAATTTTTCCATTCATTCACAATTGTTTAATAGTCATATTACTATATAGAACCATAGACTTTCATTTGGTCAATGTTTAAATGGTAGGTTACATATCAATCTCAAATACAAAGTTTACTCCAGGGGTGAAATCCAGCCAGTTCTATCTGGTAACAGTGGCTGCAGGAGACTCCACTTATCTGTGCAGACATCATGACGTCGCTTTTTTGTAACATTTTAAGCCTCTGCATATGCGCAGAAGGCTTTGTGCATGTGCAGATGATGGTGCACGTGAGCGGAGCGAGCGAGTACACAGCGCATGCACATTGGCAAACCGGTACGGAAGGTAAGTGAATTTCACCCCTCCTCTACTCTAAATGTCTTGATACTAAGTAGCTTTATATGTTCAGAGTGATAAAAAATAATCCAGGATTCGTGTATAAAGTAAGAGGCCTATTAAAAATAAAACACAGTCTTTTATAGATATTAAATATTCATGTATGAATGTATTACATCTTTTTAAAAAGTCATTTTTGGAGAAACTGCTGTGATTTTAACAAGAAATTAATTAGAACACATGATGCTGCAGTTAGCATATGAATGAACACATAACTTTTTCAACTATAGTGTTGGAAAAAATGAAATAGCTGTTTAAATCCAAATAATGCAAATGTGATTATTTTTACATTTAAAGTAACATGAAATCTAAACAAATCTAAATACCATTTGCATTTTCTTTTTCAACTCTGCATTGGCATGTTTGTATCCTTCAGCCACAGCATTCAGGTAATATATGGCAAGACTGTAAAATCAAATTTAAAATTTAAAAAAACATCTCTGAGATAACTTATAGGATTTTTAGAAAATACTAAAACACAGAAGGATTCTCAAACTTTGTGATATCCAGAATCTTATATGATAATGAAATCTGTGCTACTCCTCTCATTAATAAAATCAATATTTTATTGCAGTCAGAGTTGGACCAGAAAGAAGCTGCTTTTTAAGAGGTTATGATATAAGATAAAAACTGCTATAACAATTCCTTGACTTAGGTTTACTTTTAATTACCAAGTTCTTTCACCTAAAAAAACTTTTCTATGATGAAAAGTTAATAGTTTTAAATAGTAGATAAAGACACTGATGTTAACTAACCCATAAACTTCTACAGACTCAGTGATGAATACACATAGCTACATACAACCTGAAAATCACTAGTTGGCAGATGCTAAACCTGGGGGTTTCGCCATTTTTATAGACCCTAGACTAAAGCCCATGCAAAATAGGAATGAGTTTTCAAGTGTTCTTGATTGGCTTGTTCAGACAAAAACATGGGTACTATAAGATTCACTGTGAAGTTGTCTAGGCAAAGTGAAATCACTTTAAAAGCACCCCCACTTTGTTTAAGCTAACCTGGTTATCTTAAAAAAATAAACCCTGCTCATAAACTCTCCTCAGAGGGGTTGTATGAGAAATCATTAACTATTTGAAAGTTCATTTTAAATGCTAGGTTAGTTTCTAAATCTAATTTTATTTCAATAATTACTGGAACCTGTTATAAATAATGCATCTATTCTAAAGTTAAGTAGAACTACCAGACAATGAACCAAATTCATTCACAATCAAATTCAAGAGAATGGGAACAATGTATTCCTAAGATTCTCATCTCAAGAATGCAGTCAGTACTAAATGTAGATAAATCGCTAAAGTACTAAATGTAGATAAATTTGCTAATCACACGGGAAGCAACAGTTTGTATAATGGATTCATGAAGAGGGATTTGGGACTTGGCAGATTAAGAATTTTGGAAAAGTTGCCTAATCTATTTACAAGGATTTTACTTTATTTGCTGTCATATGCAGCACACATTTTTTAAAACTCATGACAAATTTTAATTGATAACCTATTAATATATTCTTATCTACAAGATTTCAATTCCCCCACTCCAAAATCTCAGTCAATGCAACTTACATCATAAGCAACACTGCAGTTATAATTAGTCCAGGATTTGCCAAATAACCTAAGACTTTGGCTACAAGAGGTGGGAAATCGTATTCGATGGTCTCTTGGATGACATCATACATTTTCTTTTTTCCACTGGAAGAAGAAATAAATAAATGGACAGGACTGTATAATGATAGGAACCGAACTTCAGAGAGGACATACAAAAAGTCTTAATGCAACGTATTTTCAGAATATATTACTTGAACAGCTTCAGTTTGTTATTTTTAAAGAAATACCAGTAGTTGAATATATTTTTCTTCTTTTATTTTTGAATTTGCAAATTTAAGATACATACAAATGAATAATGACAATCTCATGACACATTATTTTGAAAACAACAGCAAAATATGTTCTTTTAAAAAAATTGATATTACAGGTAATCCTCAACTTACAACAGTTCATTTAATGACCGTTCAAAGGTACGGCACTGAAAAAAGTGACTTATGACTGTTTTTCACACTTACAACCATTGCAGCAACTCAATGGTTATGCAATCAAAATCCAAATGCTTGTCAACTGACTCATATTTATGATGGTTGCGGTTATGACTGGGGTCATGTGATCACCTTTTGCAACCTTCTGACAAGTGGGGAAGCCAGATTCACTTAACAATTGCAGTGATTCTGTGGTGCAATTGTGGTAAGAAAAGTTGTAAATGGGGGCAAAACTCAGTATATGTCTCACTTAGCAACATAAATTTTGGGCTCAATTATGTTTGTAAGTCGAGGACTACTTGTGTGGGAAATTGCTTAATTCTGAATTTATGTTATTGTTAATGCTCATATTTTTCTCCAATTTATCACTCTTGTGAATTCTGACTATAATCGTTAGACTTTCCAGCCAGCATTTGTATCAAATACAATTCTGGAAGTTGTAGTCCCAATACAACTGGAAAGTCAGGATGTGAAGGTCTGATTGTATGTTATTACCAATCATTCAATACGCAGTAATATTGGGGAGGTTGGAGCGCCTGGTAAGAATCAAGTCAAGCTGGTACCAATACTTTGATCTTGGATGTCTCCAAGAGACTCTGTGTTGAGGCTTTGTTTTAAAGTAAGTATTGCTAATGCAAAGACCATAGTAGCAGCAAAACTCCAGCAGTTGTTGGCCATTTTCATTCATCTTTCCAAAGCCAAACTGACCTAAACAAGTGGGCCAAGAACTATAATCAGCTCCAACTCTGGCATTAAAATCGCCAAGGATAAACAGTGGTTCTTTCTCAGGGATTTTCTTGATAGTAGCAGCCAGATTGTCGTAGAATTTGTCTTTGGATTCTACTGAAGATGCTAATGTCGAAGCATATGCGACATTAATAAGAGTAATGCGACATTAATAAGAGTAACCAGCCCTGTTGATGAGTGGAGCTGCAAGGACAGAATTCTTTCACTTCCTGAAGCAGGTGGATTAATGGATCCTAGTAGGGTGTTTCTGACCGCGAAGTCAACCCCATATTCCCTAGACTTGTTTGATGGTTTTCCCTGCCAGAAGAATGAGAAGTTTTTCTCCTTAATAGATCCCGAGTCTAACAGTCTTGTCTCTTGAAGGGCATCTGCAGTCTGCTCAACTCCAGGTCAATGGCAGCTGTCTTTCATATGTCATCTATCTCTTGTAAATCGTCAGAAAGGCCGGGGGTCATTGAACATTCCAGGTGCCCAACTTTAGGGCTAAAGTTTTCTTATGTTTGTTGCATGGTACAAAGTTATTGATCTGCTTGTCAGTTTTGACCCTAAATCCCATGCACCCTGTGAGGTTAACAGACCGTGGTGGGGCAACACCTTACTGGCTGGGGGCTGCCCAGCTTAAGGTGGGCAGTAGCAGCCCAATTAGGTACAATGACCTTTCCCACCAATGAAAGTGGCCCCTGGCGTCATGCTCTACGCCAATCAAGCAAAGACTTATTTAAAAGACTTATTTATTAAAAACTGCCACTTCCCATGTTGTTTCAATGCTGTATGCAAAGCTGGAGCCTGGATAGCTCAACAGACAGAAGCACTGTAATTTAACACCAGCTGTCTGCAATTAAAGTAAGATCGAATCTCATCAGGCTCAAGGTTGACTCAGCCTTCCATCCTTTCTAAGGTAGGTAAATTGAGGACCCAGTTTGTGGGGGCAATAAGCTGACTTTGTATAAATATACAAAAGGATGAAGGCTATTGCTTAACGCATTGTAAGCCGCCCTGAGTCTCCAGAGAAGGGCGGCATATAAATCAAATTAAAAAAAAAAGCTGAAGTGTCCTCTCCAGAGCACGAGGCCTAATATGGAGGATAGACTGTTACCCAAGCAGCAAATTCCCCCTCTCCACATCGCTGAAATAGTCCAATGGAACGGCAAAGCCGATACGATTAGTTCCAGCTGTGCCATAGGAGTTACCAGAATGTGATTGTACACAGTCACAAACTGCTTCCAGGACTCCGGCTCCAGATTTTGCTTCGAGGTTGACTCCTGAAGCCTTTTCCAATAGTAGATATAGCTACAAGGCAGTGGAGGTTTGTAATCAGAGTTTCCCTTCTCCTAGAAGATGGTTCTGCCATTTTATCTGCCATTGGGGCATAAAGCCCTCTTCTGCCTTCAAAACAGTTGACCATCTTCTCCTGTAACCCTGGAAAGGAGCCCTCATGGAAAGGGGCCAGCTGGACCAAGATTTTTTTAGAGAGGTTTTACTCATCTAGCACTCCTCCTCACTCCAGGACTCCTGCTCCAGGTTTTGCCTCGAGGTTGACTCCTGAAGAGTTTCTCATAGATGGGTATAGCCACAAGGCAGTGGAGGTTTGAGATCAGAGTTTTCCTTCTCCTACATAAGTTGCCTTCCAAGGCTAATGGATACTATCTAACTGGTTTTTCCCACACACACAGTTAACAAGACTTCCCACTTACACTCAATCAAACAGCCACTCTCCCCTCCCCCTAGAAACAAGCAGATTCATTCATGAGGTGAACTCCCTGCAGTCACATGATTCACTCACTCAAACAGACACTCCAACTTCCCCAATATTACAATCACACACAGTTATCAGGGTGCTGATTGCGATACAGACCACTCCTTGGTGTGAAGCAGAATAAAACTGCAAACAAAGAGATTACATCACTTGAAGAAGGAAGGAAGACCACAAATTGACATCAACAAGAGCCGCAATCAGGGCAAAGTGGAGGAATTTGCACAAGCACTCAAGGAAACTGTCCCAGGCCCAGCTGAAATAAATGCATCTGAACGATGGGAATATTTCAAGAATGCTGTTTATAACACCGCCATGTCAGTATTTGGTAAGGAGATCAGAAAGACAGCAGATTGGTTTGAAGCCCATTCGGAGGAGTTGATGCTAGCCATCGAGGAAAAAAGGAAAGCTCTAATTGCATATAAAGCCTGTTCCAGTGAGCGCAACCTACAGATTCTGCGAGCTGCTCGTAGCAAAGTCTAAAAGACCGCCAGGAGATGTGCTAACGGTTATTAGCTGCAGCTTTGCTCTCAGATCCAGTTAGCAGCTGACACAGGCAACATCAAGGGGATGTATGATGGCATCAAGCAGGCTTTAGGTCCAAGAAATCTGCCCCTCTGAAGTCTGCTATAGTTGAGGTTATCCAGGACCGAGCACAGCAGATGGCACGCTGGGTACAGCACTACTCTGAGTTATATTCCAGAGAAAATGTGGTAACTGAAGAAGCATTAAATAACATTGAGTACCTGCCTGTCTTGGAGGAGCTTGACAGTGAACCAACTTTAGAAGAACTAAATGCAGCCCTGAATTCCCTTGCCTCTCGCAAGGCACCCAGGAAAGATAACATCCCTGCCGAAGTTCTGAAGTGCTGCAAAGAAAACATTCCCACTGAACTGCATGAAATCTTCTGTCTTTGTTGGAGGGAAGGTAGAGTACCACAGGACATGAAGGATGCAAATATTGTCACACTGTACAAGAACAAAGGTGACAGAGGTGACTGTAACAACTACCGTGGCATCTCTCTTCTTAGCATTGTAGGGAATCTGCTTGCCCGTGTCGTACTGAAGAGACTTCAGGTGCTTGCAGAGAGAGTCTATCCAGAATCACAGTGTGGATTTCGAGCCAACAGGTCCACTACTGACATGGTATTTTCCCTTAGACAGTTGCAGGAGAAATGCAGGGAACAAAGACAGCCATTTTTCGTAGCCTTCATAGATCTTATGAAGGCTTTTGACTTGGTTAGCAGGGACGACCTTTATAAAATTCTCCCCAAGATTGGATGTCCACCGCAGCTGCTCAACATCATCAGGTCCTTTCATGAGGAAATGAAGGGCACTGTAGTTTTTGATGGCTTAGCTTCAGATTCCTTTGATATTCGAAGTGGAGTGAAGCAGGGCTTTGTCCTTGTGCCAACTTTATTCGGGATCTTTTTTGCTGTCATGTTGAAACATGCTTTTGGAACTGCAACAGAGGGTATTTACCTCCGGACCAGATCAGACGGAAAACTCTTTAATCTCTCTAGATTGAGAGCAAAGTCTAAAGTCCAGCTGAAATGCTTACGGGATTTCCTTTTCGTTGATGATGCTGCCGTCACTGCTCACTCTGCTGAAGACCTTCAACAATTTATGGACAGTTTTAGCAAGGCCTGCCAAGACTTTGGACTAACAATCAGCCTGAAAAAAACACAAGTCATGGGTCAGGACTTGGATTCATCTCTGTGTATTACAATCTCTGCACAAGAACTGGAGGTCATCCATGACTTTGTGTACCTCGGTTCATCTATCTCTGACACTCTCTCTTTAGATACTGAGCTGAATAAATGTATTGGTAAAGCGGCCACCACATTTTCCAGACTTACAAAGAGAGTATACGAAGATCCAGGTGTATAGAGCCTGTGTCCTGAGCATACTCTTGTACTGTAGTGAGTCTTGGACCCTTTATGCACGGCAGGAGAGAAAGTTGAACACCTTTCATATGCACTGTCTCCAACGAATTCTTGGCATCACCTGGCAGGACAAAGTTCCAAACAGCACAGTCTTGGAACGTGCTGGAATTTCTAGCTTGTATATACTATTGAAACAGCGACATCTACGCTGGCTGGGGCATGTCATGAGAATGGCTGATGGTCGGATTCTGAAAGATCTCTTGTATGGAGAATT